AAATGAGTACAAATCCCTGGGCAATTTTGGGGGGGTGGGCAGGAGGAGAAGCAGAAAGAGGGAGAAGGAAGTAGGAGCTGGGGCAAGGTGTAAGCGTCACAGTGGCTGTGTCAAAGCCCTGCCCAGGGAGGCTGGGGTGGTGGGTGAGCGAGGAGCTCAGGCCCGGAGAAACACCATCGTGAGCAGGCCTGGAGAGGGGAGAACAGAAGAGAAGGTCAACTAGGCAGCCTTGTGCTGTCAGTCCTCTCTAGCCCTGGGTCCCCTTTCTTCTGGTCTCTACTGGACTCACCTAAGACATAGGCTGCCACCAGCTTCTGTCCCAGGGAGACGTGCAGGACTTGGGGCAGCTGGCTGCCAAGTTCATCCTGCAGTGGGAGCAGCAGGAAGGCCACAGAGACTATGCCCGTCAACAAGAAAAGGAAGAAGGAACTGGTGGCCAGTTGTGGGGGGGCATCTGGGAAATAAGGTTCGTCAGAAGCTCTAGCCCCCAATCCTGCCCAGCTCCAGGCCTGACTCACAGTCCTACAAGGAGCAGGCTGAAGATGGAGAATGCACACACTTTTTATAGCCTTCCCAGGCTACTTTGAGTGTACACTCCTCCCTGGAGCCTCTGTCCTCACGGCCTCTGCTCCCTCAGCATTGTTTCTCTTCACTCTGCCTTGATTACAGTCCGTGACAGGCAGGGACTTCTCTGTATCTGCTACATCCGGCACATATGTTGGCCCAGACTAACCCATCAATACATGTTTCTTAGTGAACCAAACTGAGCTGGCCCGTGATAGGAAATAACTAAGTTAGAGCTAAAGAAGAACTTCTCTAAGTAAAAGCCAGAACTAGAGGAACGGCAAAGTCTTTTTCTTCTAACCTGATTAAAAAAACATCAACTCACTAGGAATGTTTTCACCAAAAGGCAAAAGAATAAATCAGAAGATGGTTTCAAATCCAATCCAACTCATCTGTAGGCCAGTGCTAGTTCCGCCCTCCCTACAGAACTCAAGCAACCCCATCCCCAACTCACTCTTCTGCAAGTGTCTGGCCGCGGGTGGTGGTGTCCAGGCAGGAGGCCCTGGGTGGGGCGCCGAGTCCTGCTGTGCCTGAAGCTGGAGGGGGTAGGCTGGAGCTCTCAGAACCGAGGAGATGTCCTTGCGTCCCACCACTCGGCCCTCAGCTCCCTCCTCTGACAGCTCGATGCGGAAGCGGTCCTGGACATCATAGTTGCTGGGAATGGGGGCCACATGGCGAATCACACTGATAATAAGGGAGGAGAGAGGCCCAATGAGAGGAAATGAGTGAGAGGCAATGCCCCAAGTGGATCCAGGCCCCAAAGCTCCTCCACACCCTCCCAGAAGCCTTTCCCTCAAGGATGCAGAAAGTGGGGAAAAGACTGCAGAGGACCGAGTCTCAGCCCTGAGACAACAGCACCGTAATTCAGAGAAAGGTGGCAGTGCCCCCTGGTTTCCATCAGCCTTCCCCCACCCCCAACTCACATATCGATGCAGGACTGAGCCCTCACGTATCCTTCTGCGTCAAACACTCTGTATTTCGCAGGCGCTGTGCACAAAACTGGGGATAAACACACACAAAGAAACCTACTATTGCTTCATAGATAAGCTCTGTCCGCGAGGGTCACAGAACCCACTGCCTTCCACACTACGGCTTGACATGCCTCTTGCAGCACACAGGGCCCCCCAATGCCCTGTCACCAGTCCCCAGACCCCTAGGCAGGAGGTGCCCACCCCCTCACCTCGGAAGCGAAGCGCAGCTCCCGTGGGGTTATAGAGGGTCAGCAGCTGTCGGGGTCCACTCCGCTGGTCGGCCCTGAATACGAGATCCGGGGGGAAGACCAGGACCGGGACAACGGGTCCCGAGGGAGGAGGGGCGCCCCGGGACCACCGCCCAGGGGCCCCCGGACCCACCAGCTCCTGGTCCTGGGGCGCCCCACGGCTCATGCAGGCTCTGGGCGGTTGGACATCCGAGGGCAGAGCTCAGGGACAGGGCCTGGAGTCCAGAGCTGGGGGGGGGGGCGATGGGAGGCGAGAGGGGAGAGAGGAGACGAGACGCGACGGGATGAGATCGTGGGGCGGGGCCTGGACTGCTGCCGCCGCCGCCGCCGCCGCCGCCTCGGAATCCTACTAGATGGGCCTCCGGTAAACCCTGGCCCAGGAGCCCCAAACTGTTCCCTCTTCCGACTGTTCCCTAGGTCCCTTCAATGCCCGCCCCCAAGCCCCACCTAGGTGGTCACGCCCACCCCTCTAAACCCTGCCCCTCGCTTCCCTTCCGGCCGGGCTCCCGAGCACCATAAACCCTGCCCCTCATCAGGCCCCGCCCCTTCCGGCTGTTCCGGAGTGCCGGTCCCCTGTAATCCGCCAGTCTCAGCGTGCTCCGCGGGCTTGCTCGGAGCTCCCCTGTGCACCCCCTGTTTTCCGGGAAACCTGTATCTGTGTGTCTGATCCCTCCCCGAGCGCGGGCCGGAGCTCCTTAGTGCTCCGCCTCCGAACAGCCACTGATGCTATTAGTCTCAGCTTTTGGTCACAGCACCTGCCAGTCAACGGATGCCAGCTTCCCAAGAGTGCCCCCTCTGTCGCCCGTCATTGGCTTGATCCCAGTGATGTCAACATTTTACTGGCGTCTCAGGTTAAGAGAACGCCTGCTCTGAAGTATGCGGGAGAAGACGGAGGCAAGGCTGGGAACTGGGCCTTTGTTCTTTCCTCCCTACTCTGATACTGCCCAGACCTTTACATCTCTCGCGAGAGAGCACTGTTACTTTTACTCCGCCAATTCATGGCTCTCCTAAAGCCTCTGCAGCAACCAAGGCCTGTTTTCTACAGTCCTGGTTGGACGCTGGGAGCTCTGGGGGCGTACTGCCTAAGGCATTTGACTGCTAACCAGAAGTCTAGCTAGCGGGTTCAAACCCACCAGCCACTTCTCGGAAGGAAGGAAGACTGAGCAATCAACTTCCCTAGAGATACCGCCTGGGAAACCCAAGACGGGGTCGCTGTGAGTTGGATTCGACTCCACGGCAGTGAGTTTGGTTCAGTTTGGTTTTAGTTGGACGTTAGGAGCCCTGGTGGAGCAATGGTTAAGGTACGCGGTTCAAACCTACCCAGAGGCTTTGCGAGAGAAAAGTCCTGGCGAGGTGCTCCTGTAAATATTACAGCCTAGGACACCCTATGGGCCTGTCTACCCTGTCTAGTGGGGTCGCTAGGAGTCGGAATCTACTAGGCGGCACACGGCGACAGCTGGAGGTTGCTTCCAGTGGGGGGGTGGGGTCTCAGCCTAGGACTTGTTTCTCGTTTCCTTCCTGCAAAAGCCTGAGACACCACATCTGCACATAGAATTAGGAATTACCAAACCCTGCCAATTACGTCATTCCATCGAATCTTCATTGTTACTCTCCTACTTGAATAATTTCTTTTAGAAAGATCAGCACAAGGCCAGTCAGCCCTAAGAGGTGGAGGTTAAAAATGTCCCAAGTGTCCAACTTTTCCCAACTGCCAGTCCACTCCGTCATCTCTGACATCAACCCCTCCTCCACCCCTCAGTACTGCCCTCCTGTCCCAGGGTTCTGTATTTCACTGTAGAGTCTCACAGGACTCACAAACTCCCAAGGAAACAGCTCCCATGGTGGTGGAGGCTGGCTGGCTGGCAAGTCCCAGGTCAGTGGGGAGGTCTGGAGAATTCTCCCAACTCACGTGTTTGCAGGGGTTGGTGATCCCAAACTGGTGGGTCAGATGACAGCTGCTGTCTCCAGCGCAAGGGTGAGATGTTGACAAACCTAATGCAGCCAGGAGGAAACTTTCGCAGAACACTCACATATATACCCATGAGGAAGGTGAGGGTCCTGACTTGAGTCACACCCTCCAGCAAGGCGCGACTCAAGATAATCCCACCCTGTGGTGGTACACTGAGGCATTTGACTGCAGTTGAAAGGATAGATGGGGCAATCTACTTCCCTAAATATTTACTACCTTGGAAATGAATGGCAATCAACTCAATGGCAGTGTTGTTGTGTTTTTTTTTTTTAAAAAAAAAAACAAAAAACGGCGTAGAGACTAGGATTTATACATCACAAAATGGAGGATGATGGCTGGAAGGGCCATAGTAAGCAATTTACTGCAGTGCAGGCCACCTCCTGGCTCTTTTGACCATTAGCCCTTTCACACTTGAAGCATTAATTTGCCCCTCCCAATCATTTTGACCTGTGGTGCTGGTGAAGAATGCTGAAAGTACCATGGCCTGCTAGAAGAACTAACAAATCTGTCCTGGAAGAAGTGCAGCCGGAATGCTCCTTGGAAGTGAGAATGGCCAGACTTCGTCTCATCTACTTTGGTCATGTTGTCAGAAGGGACCATTCTCTGGAGAAGGATGGCATGCTTGGTAAAGTGGAGGGTCAATGAAAGAGGGGAAATCCCTCAACGAGATGGATTGACACGGTGGCTGCAGTGATGGGCTGGGGTGTAGTAGGGATCATGAGGCTAGCACAGGACTGGGCAGTGTTTCGTTCTGTTGTACATAAGGTTGCTGTGAGTCAGAGATGACTCAAAAGGCACATAACAACAACAGCAACAACCATTTCGCCCGGTCCCAAAGGCATCCGGTCCCAAAGGCATTAACAGTTAGTCTTCAGTAGGGCACAGAGCCCCGGGGGTGAGGTTCCTCCCATAGTAGCCATTCAGGTCTGCTGCCGGTGTCCATCTGATCTGGTTAGGCCCTCCAAAAGTTTGTCTGCTCGTAACCTTTTCTGGCCTCTGATAACATTTAACTGACAGAGTAGTATTCCTTTGCTCTGAGTCTCTTTTTAGGTATCAGCATCATACTGGGTTTCCCCCACTGCATAACCCATTTCTTCATTCCTTTACCTTCAGCTATTATTCCTCCTTCCTTCCATTTGTCATTTATTTTTCCCCAAACATTCCCACCTTGGGAAGGGACATCAGGTTTAGCTGTTGTTCAATCCAGGTTGCTGGTAGCAAGACCAGTCTAGCAAGTTCTTCCCCCTCAGTCCACTCCCATTCCTGTTGGGTGTGGTTGTGTAGGTACAAAACTAGTGGGCTCTCTCAACCACTGGGCAAGACAATAATCATCGCTGTCAGCCCCAATTTTGCCAGATGGGGGGACGGAACAGTCCATCCCATGAGGCCCTTGGGAATTCTGGCGTACAGGTTCAGGGATATAGTTACAGTCTCTTGCTTAGGGATCACCCTTGCCCCTGGCACCCAGGTCCTGGACCACAGCTTCTGGCAGGAAGACAGCAGTGTCAGGTGATGTGGGGAAGAATTGTATAGTGGCACCAGCATCCTCCCCCCCTTCCCCAGATCCCCCAGAAATATGTAGTTATCTGTCCAATGGTGATCCTCCCTTTGCCCCCCTCATGTTGTGTGAGCACACACTTATGAAGGCAGGTGAGCCAGCCCTTCAGGCCTTTATCTCCCCCCATTTTAGATAACAGATGTTTCAATAACTCATTCCAGTTCTCTATCAAACTATTACTTTGAGGATAGTATGCAGCATGGTCTGTCCACTTAATACAATGTTTTTTGACCCACTGCTGTACCCTGTGGGCTGTGAAGTGTGTTTCTTGGTCTGAGGAAATGTAACTTGGTGGCCCACATTGGTACATACCTTTTGTTCCAATCCTTTAATGGTGTTTTTGGCATTTGCATCTGTCACAGGATAAGCAAAGCCCAGTCCAGAGTAAGTGTCTATTCTGTGAGAACCCATTTATAGCCACCTGGAACCACTAGCATCATGGGTCCTGTATAATCAACTTGCCAGCTGTGTACAGGGCCTTCCTCCTGGGCCATCTGCCCCATAGCCATCTGTAACCTCTGTCTTTCTTGCTGATAGACAGAGCAGTCCTTATTGGCATTTTGTGCCTCAGAGGATACAAGAAGGATGTGTCTAGATTGAGCCCATCTCTGCATTGCTGTAGCACCCCTGTGGTGTAGTAAATTACTTAGTGTGGCTTTTCTACCCATAAGTCTTTGTAAACTCTAAGGTGGGAATTGCTATTAGCTATGGAGGAGATCCTGATTTTAAAGTCGCCCACCTGGGTTATTTCTGTTGGGCGTGGCACAATACAATGTTCTGGGAAGTTCCCACTCTCTCTCACGTGCTTAGAGTTCTGATG